GTTCGTCACCAGCTGAGCAAGAGAGGTTGCTGAGAGATTTAGGTGTGCACTGTTCAGCAACCAGTCCCAATATAGGTTTGTCCATGAAGGCTGGTGATCCTCAGCTATCATACAACAAATTCCTACTCACTGCGCATATGCGCATATGGCTTGTGAAACAGCAGCAGAAACTGCACTGCCTTGACAAACGCACCAGTTAACATGATGGAGCAGATATGCCCAGCCCTGGAAGCCAACACCAAATCTCCAATCGCTAGTACAAGTAGCTCTTCACTAAATCATGCCTAGTGCATGCTTGCAGTGATATTTTCAGCAAGAGCGCTGCAGTTACTGCTGAGGAGATATATTGCGTCCTTGAAGTCGAAGGCGCTCATCAAAGATGTCTTGCCATCAATTCTTGGCCTTATGCAGGCACGAGGTGGTCTCCCGTGGCATTGGCCATATTACCCCGAGCTGCACTTGCTCGAGGAGCACGTTGTTTCGCTCATGGAAGTCCTTCGTGTTGGACTGAGTAGGCTTGCTGAGAGAACAGAGCGCTGAATCCATCCACGTCCACAACTACGAATAATTTACAAAAACATTCCGACTGCAGATCAGCGCTTGAAAACGGCGATGCAAATCAGCGACGTTGGGCTTCTCCATTCAAAAGTAGAGCCTTCCTAACGAAGCAATTCTCATGTGACACTACATAGTCTCTCAAGCACTCTAGTTCAGGTCTTCTTCTCTCCACTCCATTATCATTTCGATCTTCACTCGGTCGACGTGATGGAAGTAGCTATGTAATGATGGATTCCTCCCGATCCCCGTCGCGGCTAAAATTTGTTCGGTGTTTGTCTAAATTCTCAAACTGACAGGGTTTACAAGAGAAATGTACCTAATTTTGTGCGATTGATGCAAATAAATCGGAATATGTCTGACTTCATAAATCCGTGCGGTAAACCGCATGAAAGGACGCCATGTCATTAGATGGTGCACATGAAGTCACCGGGGAGGGTTGAAATCAACCCGGGGCGAAATTTCAACCCGGGTCAAGCGCAATGCGTCATGTAAACGCGCCATTCATTTTATGCACATGGCGGGTTGAAATCTGACCGGGGTCGAACTCAACCCGGGTTGGAACGCCTCATGTAAACACCGCCTAAGTAAATTAAAGGGGAAGTATACCCTAAAATCAAATTTTCACCAGTTGTAGTCTTCGGGGTGCTGAGTCGAATGGTCTTGGTCCGAGGAAGCTGAGACGCTCCCTTCCTACTTGAATCCCAATCGAACTCGCGCACTTCCACCGAAACTGGGTGACTGCGCCCTACTAGATGGGGATTTGTATGCAAAATGTCACTAAAAGCGCCATTTCGTTCTTATAAAAGCACGGATGACCGCGATTGGCCCATATGTTGTAGTCTTTTGGACGCTGAGTCGACTGGTTTTGGTCCGAAAAGGCTGCGATGCAGCGTTCCTCCTTTATTCCCAATCGAACATGGTGGAACAAGCGGTCACGTGCTCGTGCGTACACCAGTCACCTGGTCACCGTGCCTGCAGGGTACAACTTACTAGCCTGTTTGACCTTTTTTGGGTGCAGTCCTGTCACTCGAGTTGAACTCGAGTTGAACCTTGGTGTGAAAGTTGTCGCCTGCTGGCGCGGTGACCAGGTGATTTGGGCACCCAGGAGCACGTGACCGCTTCTTCAACCATGTTCGATTGGGAATAAAGGAGGAACGCTGCATCGCAGCCTTTTCGGACCAAAACCAGTCGACTCAGCGTCCAAAAGACTACAACATATGGGCCAATCGCGGTCATCCGTGCTTTTATAAGAACGAAATGGCGCTTTTAGTGACATTTTGCATACAAATCCCCATCTAGTAGGGCGCAGTCACCCAGTTTCGGTGGAAGTGCGCGAGTTCGATTGGGATTCAAGTAGGAAGGGAGCGTCGCAGCTTCCTCGGACCAAGACCATTCGACTCAGCACCCCGAAGACTACAACTGGTGAAAATTTGATTTTAGGGTATACTTCCCCTTTAATGAGATTGAACATCTACATGATTGTATAACAACAGCCATCGCGGCACTACATTTCATTTCACGCTTGTTAGGTTTCTACACGTCTTGTACCTTTTTTGCTCATTGAGATTGGACATGCTCATTGCATGGACATGCTCAATGATCTCAGCAGGGAAGTCGGACCTGCACCGGTCTATTTCGCATCGCATGCCGTCCCGGTATTCATGGTATTGTGCTACTGATTCTGTTGAGCGGAGATGGTTTTGGATCAGTGTGTGGCCGACATTGGCGGGTACTGCATTGCTTGCAGCAGAATGTTTTATCGATATTCCGCAGTGGAATGCCAAGCATGCAGGTAATTTTGAACATGATTCTCGCGAAACATTACAGCACCAATGAAAGTACCTGCCATCGCCTGAGCACTAAGCGGCCACGATGAAGACAATCACGTTGCACAGCTTGCTGCTGCTCCGAGCAGCTCGTCTTGAATGCAACTCACGGAAAAGTACCTTGCCTATTTCCCAAAACGCTGGGCTGGCAGCTGGCCTATCTCAGTATCTGGATACCTGAAAGCTGGCACAAGGGTTGGCAAGGGAGAAGAGTGCCTGTAATATTCACTCGTGCGAGAGAGCCCAGGATAAATCGCTAATTTTGATGGGGCTGGCTGATTGAGATTGCTACACCGCATGATGTCTGCTTGTGTTTGTCACCATCCACTTGACTGACTCTGATAACTGACTGAGCAAGCAGAACACTTGCCACACGCGCAAAATCGAGGACCAGCTCGATCACTGCATATCCGATCAAAACAATGCGGCGAGCGAGGTCAGTGCGTTCCTGCCCACTGTTCACGGCTCTTTCCGGCGTAGCTGACAGCTTTTCCAATGCATGTCTAGTCTGTCGATTGGCACTGATAGTAGAGAGGTTTTGCAGAGCGAACGTTCGCAATGATTTTCGCGTTCCGGGTTGCGAAAACTATTGCGAACGTTCGCGCGAAATTTGTGTTTTGCATGTTTTTCGCTCCCAGGAATTTTCGCGTGCACTCGCTTGTTTGAGAAGTGGTCTTCATCCGATTATTTTGTTGTTGCGAGTGACGGCACCCTGACTGAGTCATGGCCTGAGACGAGAGCTCTTTGACTACCTTGTCCATGGCCGGAGACTCACAGACAAACGGGTTGGCTTGTGCCGTAATCTGGCGCATCAACACCTGAAATTCAAAAAGGCATCGTTGATGTAACCGGCTCTGAGCAGTGAGAAGACGAGCAGGCAGGAGATCGGGGATGGTTCCGGAGATGAAGCAACACGGGCTGCCACAAGTATAGGAAAGCTAGCACCCGCGGACCAAGCCAAGAGTAGAGATCAAGCACAAACATGAGGATTGAGGGTGGCTCACCGCGCACGAACAGTCCACAAAGAGCGAACATTACTGCGAACGTTTGCATGTTTCTCGCTCCAAGAAAATTTCGTGTGCACTCGCTTGTTTTTGAGAAGTGTTCTCCATCCGATTATTTGTTTGTTGCGAGTGGCGGCACGCGCACCAGGTACCCTGAGTCACGGCCTGAGACGAGAGCTCTTTGACTACGTTGTCCATGGCCGGAGACCCACAGACAAACGGGCCGGGTTGGCTAGTGCCGTAATCTTGCGCATCAACACCTGAGATTCAAAAAGACATCATAATCATTGATGTAACCGATTCTGAGCAGTGAGAAGACGAGCAAGCAGGAGATCGGAGATGGTTCTGGAGATGAAACAACACGGGCTGCTAAAACTATCGGAAAGCTAGCACTCGCGGACCAAGCCAAGAGTAGAGATCCAGCTGCAGCACAAACATGAAGATTGAGGGTCGCTCACCGTGCACCAGGCTGACCAGCGGTCCACAAAGAGCGAAAAATACTGCGAAAGTTTGTTTCGCGTTTCCTGCAACTTTCGCGTTCAAAACTGCGAACGTTCGCACGAAGTTTCGCTTTTCGTGACGTCAAACGAAAATTCGCGCGAACGTTCGCTCTGCAAAACCTCTCTAGTGATAAGTGATTGCCTGTGTTGCCTGTTGGTGGTTGGTTGATTGTCAGGTAATTTGCTGGGATTTCCCCACTTTGACAACAATACAAGTACAGTCTGTGTGGTGCAAAAGAAGTGTGTGTATCTGTATGCACACGCACACGCACACGCACACGCACACGCGTGTAGCAATAATCATAATGATAATTATTATGTGGACACATGAAGACACACACACCACACACATAATATTATACCTCAGACCTCACACCTGTCCATTGCGGAAGTGATGATAGCTAACAGCAATGTTAGACATAGCAACTTGTGCTCGGATTACTTATACACCATTCAACAACCTTCAAGACGCACGCACGCACGCACACACGCATGCACACACGCACACACACACACACACACACACACACACACACAAACACACACACACACACACACACACACACACACACACACACACACACACACATGGTCCTGGTAAACACAGCCATTACAGTCACGTGTCCCCTTGCGGGGCCGACAATATGGAACGACGAGCGACGGCCGCTGAGAGAGAGGTCACGGACTCGGGGACCATGTTCGAGAGAGCCATCTCTGGCACCTATATGATCTAGCTTATCATCGGAAACGATTCCTCTCACGGCTGCCGCTTGAACTGGTCCATCACCCTTCACAACAGCTAGAGCGAACATTGCATGAGCCAATGCTGAGAGTCGTTCCAAGTCGTCGTCTTCGTGCGGTAGTTTGCTCCACTCGCGGGCTTGCAAGGCCTCGCGAAGGACTCCGAGGTGGGGGCAACCAGGAGAATATCGGCATCATAACTATCCGACCAAGTCTCCTCAGTGTCGATGAAGACCCCACCTCAGGCACTGTTGGCCTGGACGGCTGGGGACACCCCAGGCCGTACACGACGGCGAGAACAAACACACACACACACACACACACACACACACACACACACACACACACACACACACATACACAGAAGAAGATAAAACTGAGACAAGATTGTTATCCAGAGATCTCTTTTCTACTGGGAAACAACTTCAAACAAGCCCGATCAAAGACCAATAGCCTTTCCTCAAGCCGATGGTGCAGATAAATATACAATAATTATGAGAAGCAATATGGGTCCTAAATAATCAAACGTGTCTCTCAGTGGCACCGATACTGAACATCATGTACCAGGGACTGTCTCAGGGAAAGTAGAAATAGAAGAGCAGCATTCTGAATGCGCTGCTGTGGTTGAAGAACAGTGGTGGAAATAATAGGCATGGTATTCCACCAGTCAGATAAAACACAGGGTAGAAATGCTAAATAGGGAGTAAGCACTCTGCCTCAACATCTGGGTAAGAGAACACAATGACGTGAAAAACGTCAGTGGCATATACTGTGAATATAGTGGAACGTACTGTCAATAAAGAAAAATACAGTCGTCAAGGCAACTGGAGTAGGTGCTGGCACTCAAGCCGATGTGTATATGGAATAAAATATACAAAGAAACAATATGTGAATTGACAAAATGGAGAACACAGTTTGGACTATCTATTTTCTCACACGGTTGTACTTGGGAAGTCAAGAGTATTTCGTAAGTCTTCACGCGGTTGGCGAAGGCAATTTCACAGTTCAGTTCTTGATAGGCAAGTCGTGCAAATGGCTACTGCACTGCTACAGAGCTGTGTGCATGATAATCCTGCCTTCGTTACTAAGTGATGTGAAACTTCTTGCTCGCGCTTGGCTATGCATGGGAGATACATTTGTTTCGCGGCCAGCATTGCTATCTCTCGGCTGGTCACTGCCCCTGTCTGGTGTTAAGCATTGTGCAGCGGGAGAGGAGTCCCGTGCATGCCGCTCCGCGCTGCGACCATCCTCGACGTCGTGGACGGGAGTACGTCGGGATCGGAACACTTTATACTCGCCGCTTGTCGATTGGCTGCGAACTACAGTTGCCGCGGACGACGGTTCGGACTTGTCGCCAAGCTCTTCCCGTGGCATGTCTGGAGTTTGTTGGAGCAGAGAATCGTCAACAGCTGCCACTCCATCCTCCGTCGTCGTTGTCATCACAGACGTTCGATCACTGCTTACGTACCCGCTGGTCGTCGTCGAGTTGCTCGCAGTCATGGCAATGTGGATGCGAGGAATCGGCAGTTCCTTGCCTTTAGTCATCAGATCAGCTGGTGCCGATGAAGTGCTGCTGCCGACCGAGGTGGTGAATTGTCCGGTTACGCTGCGCTTGGGTGGGGCTGAGCTTGTGCTGGAAGTGGGCGTGCGATTCGGCGAGCGGCCCGGAACCCGCGGCGAGGCGGAGATCTTTGGGATGGTGACGTCGGACTGCAATGCAGATCGGGGACTGGTGCGGCCGGGAACCCGCGGCGAGCCGGAAATGTCCGGGACAGTATTGCCCGCGTGAGAGCTGGAACGGCGTCGTGGACTGCCGGTAGGTCTGCCCTCGTCCTCGATCACCTGCAGGTCGTTGAAGCTGCGGTGCAGTCGGCGCGGCGTGTTGGGCGTCGCCATCTCCTGCATCGTCTCCATCACCTCCGCCCGGTCCTGCTCGACTTCCAGCTGGTGCGGGTCGTGCGAGGAAAGCCAAGCGTGCCGCCAGTGCGAGGCAAACTTCGGCACGTGCACGATGATGACGGTGGCAAAGGCAAAGACGGCGGGAAAGAGCGGAGTGTAGAGCTGCGTCTGCACGGTCTCGATGAAGACCAGAGAGTCGAGGAAGTACACGATGACGCACGTCATGCACATGAATGAGGATGTGATGTCCAGGGAGGACTTGATGTGAGCTCGCCGTACCTGGCCGTGATTCAGCAGGTTAATGATGAGCAGAACCGACGCCAGCGCAACTATGACCGCGGTGGCTACCTCCGACAGAATAGACCGAGGCGAACAGATCAGATAGAGAGCAGTGTGGCCGCTGGCACTCAACTCTGCCTGCGATCTCTGGTACAGCAGCAATCCTAGTACATGTAGCACTATGTAGAGGATAAGAACGACCAGGCAGAAGATCAGACGTTCTTTCGGGCTCGTCAAGATTGAGGTAAGGCTGGTGGTGGAGGCCCTGCGGCGACGACGCACCGCATCGGTTACCTTCTTGCCCAGATGCCCTATGGACTGGCGAGCAGTGCGCCTTGCAGCCATGGCGCCAGTGGAGGTGGTCTCAGGGATGGCGCCAGTGGACGCCGACAGTCTTCTCGAATGCCCGGACACGCCGAGTGTTGTCGCCGTTGTCGTTGTCCCTGCCGCCGCCCCTGTTCCCCTCGGCATTGCCTGCACGCCGCCCGGACCTTCTGCACCGATATACAGCGTTGTGTTGTAGTGCGGCGCGGGCAGAGACAGTGTGCTAGTTGCCGTGCCGACAAACCTGGTCTCGGCCTCGGCCGGTGGCTCAAAGACGTCGACGCTCAGCGAGGCTCCGGACATGTTGGCAAAGTTGTGACGTCGTGCGGTCACGTCACCCGTCGCCGCACTAGCGCCCATCACCGTCATCTGTTGCTCCAGTTTGCCACCGCCGGCGGTGGTGCTCGGCCCATTGCTACTTTCGTAGCTACTGTCACCGTCACCACTGCTGCCGCTTAGCTCGTACTTGCGGAGGCGGTGTAGCTCGGCGAAGCGCTGAATGGAGCTGGCTAGAATCGGCACGACGGCTAGCATGAGGCAGAGGTCCACCAGGACCGGGAGTAGAGCGCACAGAACGTCGCTCGGCTCCTGGATCTCCACGGGAGACAGGGCCAATGCCAACACACTGCCAGCGAGGGAGAGGACCGTCATGTCCGATGTGCCGACGGACCAGCGAATGGATTCCTTGCGACGGCACCACACCAGCGCCGATATCAGAATGGGAAGCGCCAGTAGCAGACCGGCTCCGCTGAAGCCGTAGACGATGAACCGATACGAGCCGGTGATGGCAAGGTGGTAAAGCGGCAGTCGGTCACAGCCGGTGCGGTCGCTATTAGATATGTAACCGTCGTCACATTCGGTACAGTTCGGGCTGTTCACCGACGTGGAGTAGTAGTCTTGCTCGCACTGTACACATGTCCAGCAACAGATCCTGGTCGTCATGACGACGGCCTTCTCGCCGGGCTGGCACGGCAGAGAACAGACGGCGCGAAACTCACCCGTTGCCAATGACGATGACGAGGACGCACCCAGACCGAGCACATCATGGAGAAACGCCCTGGTCGTGTCAAACTCCCGTACCCCGCTGACATTGAACCGAGCCGTTTCCAATCCCGTCAGGACCGTTCTGGTGACGTTGAACGAGGACGTGCAGATGCCTTGAGTCTCTGCCGTCACACCTGCTGCTGCTTGATTGCCACCCGCCATGGCAGAGCAATCACTAGAACTGCTAGTAGCAGCATGGCTGCCGCAGTTTGCTGTGCCGGTGGCTGACGTTTCAAACTCAACAGTCATACCTACGTACGTGTACGTGAACAACTCGAACGTGTTGTCTTGCAGCTCGCCGAGAGGAGTGAACCGCACCGGCTCCTCCGTCGTATTGGACGTGAACGAGACTCTCGTGATCTGCTGTTGAAACTCGGCCGCGTCAATGCGACGCCTGCTGGCCCGCATGGACCGCGCCACGTCGGCCATGCTGCTGTACCGCCCGTCGCTCTCGTCGACCATCTGCTGCAGCGTGCGGTTGAGCGCCAGCATGATAGCTTGCACTGCATCGGCGGCGAGAGTTTCAAATGCCGTCAGTCGCACGTCGCTCCCGGGGGTGCTTCCGCTATACCACGGATTGCCGCCAGCCGTCGTGTTCGTCCCCCCACTGGACAAACGACGAATATGATGAAGCACCGAACTGTTTAGTGCACTCTCCGTTAGAAGCGGGCCCAAGCCAACTGAATGATTCATTAGAGGTGCGTACTTCGCGATGTGCTCCCTACTACCCATATAGACGAATACGAATACGTTGTCGTCGTAGAGAAACCGGAACACTGGCTCGGTGGCGTTGAGGGCATCCGTGAGGCGCTCCACCGAATCCAGGAACGCTCCGAGCACGGCGCTGCTTTGAACGGACAGCAGCCAGACTAGATTGCTCCGCTGACCGTTGGCCAGTATCGGCAAGCTGTCGTACAGCGCTCGTACCAGCCGGTCCATTGAGCCGTTGCCGCCGGCAGCCACTGTCGCCGTGACAACAAACTCGGGCCGCGCGCTGACGCAGATCGGCGGAGTGGTCATGGCGGCGACGGACTGGAGATCGTCGACGACCGACTGCGACGCCTTGTTGCCGGGGTGGACAACGGTTAAGTAGTTCCAGTTCATGTACTGCATGATGTGCAGCACCACAGTCATCTTGCTCACGTCGCTGGCCACGTTACGCGTGAAGTACGGGAACTCGCAGTCGTTGGACAGGCCGGGATCCGACGCTCCGTAGCTCACCACCGGTACGCTGAACAGATTCAGCAGACTCGTGGTTGCCAGGGTTACGCGGTCGTTGTTCGGACTCAGCACCACCGCCACCAGGCTCTGGGCATTGCCGCCGCTGTTGTTGGCAGCACACTGATCGTGACCGCTAGCGGCTACGTACTCCACGCCGGCGTGCACCGCTATATGCTCGCTACCGCACACGTCCGTTATGTCAAAGCCGAGCGTCACGTTGGGTAGAATGCTGGGATCGGCGTTGGCTCGCTGGATCATGTAGCTGATGATTTCAGACGTGCGCGCGTTTCTCGGCGTGACTGCACGCACGCACGTCATGCTCAGTTCGTCCCATTCGCTGATATCCAGCATGGCGCCAATAACAATGTCTGGGTCGGCGCCAACCGGTCCGCGGTAATGCTCTATAGGAGCGTCCAGCGTTCCATGAACACCCAGCAGCATGGGGAACAGCAGCCAACAACTACAACTGCTGCACAGCAGTATGGCTACGAATACGTCCTGGCACGACAATGTCATGGGGTGATCCATTCTCCGTCGCATTATTGCGTGCACTGACCGCATGCGGGCGGCCCTAGGCAGTATGGATTGTAATGTCCTCAGCTAATTAGTATTGCATTCGGGCCCAGCTGGCCATTCACTACTCCGGCCGTTGCAGCAGCAGGTCTAGTGCTGCTGGAGTAAACTCTTTCACCTCATGAACGCGGTCTGAGTGGGTCTGCTCCGCGGGACAAGCCTCGCAGCCAAAAACATGTAAATGCCCCAGCGCACTAGCAGCGAATATCACTGTAAACGCGGCGCTGCTCAGGTTCTAGTGCATTCAGAAACACAACTCACTACAAACTAATAATTATTAATTTTTACTCTACTACCCACGTGCCGTTTGTCCGCACGCACACGCCTGCGCAGCATGCGCTCCGGGGCACTCACAGCGAGAGAACGATCCTGCCAGCGCAGACGCTGGAGAACGCGGCATCCAGCAAGCAAAAACTTCAAAGTCCAGAGAATCCCGAGCCTGAGTGAGGTTGTTGCGCACTACGAGAACAGGACCTGACGATTACTACGGTATTACTACACGTAGTAGTACAGCTAAACTGTTCGAAATCTTTCACAACAATCTAGAGTCGGTGATTGCATCGAGCAGCAAATCCTTAGCTTGTTTCTGATATCCGGCTGAGCTGGCTGTTCTGACGAAGCGGCGGATGCACGAGCCAGCAGACGTTCTCTCTGCCGTGGTGGTGCAGACGGCAACACAACATAAAATGTGAAGCCCTGGTCTGCTTGGGAATGAATAGCGCTTAGCAAAATAGCGCTGGCAGTGTTGATGTAAAAAAAATTGGCACATTACATCGCCGCCAGGGCGACAGCTACGACTCGTGTAGTAGTGGCTAGTTCGGGACACGCATTGAAACATAAACAAACAAGAATCAACACACCTCATGCAGCTCACACAGCTCAGCAGTGTCAGCACATGCTACGACTCGCACATCTGCCGCGTGCCCACTGCCCAGTATACAGTAGTACTAGTAGAATCTACACGAGGTGCTTTGCATTAGCCATTTTTATGCCTCGCTGTGCACCGGTGCGCGATCGAGCAGCTGTTTTGTGTGAGGCACGAGGCCTCGAGCCGTTCTGGAGTCGTGGAGATCAGGTCGAAGATGACGATGGTCGACGCCACATTTCACACTCCTGTCACTGTGTGTCAGTGACTCAGTGGCGATCAGGTGATCTGTACAGACCGTGAACACACGCTGTTGTACTTGTAGCAGGATCACTCACTATCAGATTCTGCTGCAACACGAGTCACGGTAGAAAGGCGTGGGTGGACTAGCCTCCATGCATATGCGCATGGTGTGTGTGTTCCCACGCAGTACGAGTCGCAGCTGACCGCGCACATGGTTCAGGCTAGCCTAGGGAGCTACAGCTCTACCCGTACCCCATCATCATGATCATGCATGGCCCATGCCCATGTCACGAATCATGATGCTGACTGTATGACTATGGCCCGGGTGGATCTACTGGGTACCGTATTTTTCGGAGTATAGTGCGCACCTTTGTATAACGCGCACCCCCAATCTTCATTGGGGGTGCGCACTTCAATCTTCATTGAAGTACATGCATTTCATATTCGGAGCAACTGCATAGTGCGCACCTGCGATTTAGGGCCTAAATTGCTAAAATAGCACATCTAAAGTGCGCACTATACTCCGGAAAATACGGTAGGCTCGCTGTACTGCCTACTGCCAGTGCAGGCTGGAGCTGCACTGAGGTTCCAACAAGCACATGGCCTGGATGCCATGCCCGGCCCATGGCCCAGGCCATGGCATGGACCATGCATGCCTGTTATTACAATTTACTATTGCCCCACAAATGGCTACTACAACACATGTACTAGCAGTAACTGTTTGGATACCGGTATGACCACTCAGCCAGCTCAGGTAGCCCCCACACATGCCAGTACTGGCAGTAGCGGTATGTGTATGACTCCTTGTATTACTTTTTTCAACACAATCATTATGACATACATGTACATGTACATGTATCGGCCTCTTGTACGGGTAACAGAACACAATTTTCTACAGAGTGAGAATCCGAAAAATGTACCAGGAAAGACTCGGATAAGGGAGAGATGAAGGGGGAACTCCACAGCACCTAGCATGAAAATTCTAAAGCCAAGAGAGCAAACCGACCCTGTATTACTGGCTTGTAGTCTACCCAAAGGCTCCCTGGATATGTACATGTACATGTACGTGGAAGCAGGGAGAACTAGAAAAAGAGTTTTTGTACTGCCTGCTCCCAAGATCCAAGCAAACGTATTATATTATTACCGGTATTTCCTGTTGAGTTCTTCACCAGATTTGCATTGCATTAATTTCATTTTAAAATGGCAATTAACAAAACAAATTGTGCAGCACAGTCATAACAATGACACGCTATATTATCTAGATTGCTTATGTTTGCCACACTCAGTATCCTTCCGGTTCTACTATACAACTGTGGCCTGTGGACCTTGACAGCAGCACTCGGCAACAGGCTCGACACGTGGCATCGCCGCAAACTACGATCCATTCTCGAGATCTCGGCGTAGTGTATCTCCAAAAAATATCGAATATAAAAAACTTATACAAGCTGTCCAACCAATTGCCTATCACCAGAACATGCAGGGAACGGCGCTTGTTATGGTTCGGCCATGTAATCAGAGAAGGCAGTGACTCAACATCCTACAAAGCTCTAAGACTTTCAATCGACACCAAAGACATCAAGAAGCCCAGAGGACGGCTCAGGACGCCCCGTAACCAGATGGATCGACAACATCAAGAATGACTTAAAGACAATAAACGTTTCCATTGCCGAAGCGGCATCACGTATTACCACGTAGACTCAAACGGAAACAATACACAGCTAAGACGAAGCAAGAGACTGGAGGAGGCACGGTTCAGGCAATCAGGAGACATCGGACCAGGAGAAGGAAGTATTGTCAGCAGCAAGTCGAGGATTGGTGATGACGGGTCTAGGAACAGATGGCGTGGACGTGCTGAAATGGAAGCGGGTGATGAGAACGATGGCCCAGATGGGGATAGCGTCACAGCGATGAAGTGGAGGAAAGTGACGAGGAGGATGGGAGTGTTGAGGAAGAGAAGTTCAGTGTCGATAAGAAGAAGTCCGCTGTGTACAATTTGGCGTCAAGTCCGGGGTGTCGTAATTTATTCTTCCGACGATTCCTGGTTCAGTGTTTAATATTCGGTGTGCAAAATTATGTAGGTTAAAGCAGTTGCAGGTGATAGAAGCTGTCTACATGCACGTACATGTACGTCTACGTGATCCTGTTCTGTGTAAGCAGAAGGGAAATGTAATACTGTAAAAGCCATTATAATTATAACGAAGTGCTAACGGGGTGAAAACGGGAGCAGAGGAAATTTTTTTAGGAGAAATCTGTCGTTAAAATAGAAATCGTTATCCAGAAATCGATACATTATACTGCCCTATTGAGCGTTGAGAATGAGTGAAGATCGTTACCTTTGGTACACGTAAACTAGTCAATTTTGAGAAATCGATATACAATCATGTATATAATAATAATAATAATAATAATAGCACATTTCGCGTAGTAGAGCACTAAATAAAGAAATTCAGTGTTTTTTCCGCTTCTGTCTTGTGAGCATCATCAGCTAGGTGTAGTAGCTGCTGATACCGATTTCTCGCCGGGTGTCGAGCTGCACAGTTTCCTCCAGTCTGTCTTGTCTGCTGCTTGTTGTCGGCACCTGGAAAGGTCTTCCATGGTCTTCATTGGCACACCCAGCTTATTCAGCTGAGCAACCAGACTTGTGGCCAGTGTCAACCTTGGCCGTCCACGAGGTGCTTTGTTGCCCTTGTCAAAATAGCCGCTCATGGCTACTTGCGGTGGCGTGTCCGTGTCCATCCGTAGCACATGACCGGTCATTCGTAGTCGCCTACATGCAACTGTGTCTGATATAGGGTTGCTCTTGGTTCTCCGGTATAGGTCGTCGTTTGAAATTGTGTCTGGGTATCGTATTCCAAGGAGTGATCGCATTTGACGCCGGTGGAATGCGTCTGCCTTGGCCATTGCTGTTGACGATAATCCCCAGGTCTCGCAATTGTACAGGAATGTCGGCAGTACGATAGCGTTGTACAGGCGTAAGCGTGTCTTCTCCGCTACTTTATCTCTACGCAGCCATAGGGCGTACAGCTGGCCAAACACGCGAGAGGCAAGTTCCATCCTGCGCCGAACATCCTCTTCCTCCCCCATCAAGGAGCCAAGCTGCCTAGATGTCCGCCAGCTCTCGGATTCAGGTGACACACGGATCCACTCTGTTTTATCTGGATTTACTTTTAATGACCAATCGTGCAGTGTGTCTGCTATTACAGGCAGAGCATTCTCAAGCCACAGCCTGCAGGTTGAATAATAGGAGATGTCATCTGCATAACCCGTCTCTGGTGGTAGACTTGCGTCGCCAGCAGGACGGGGCGCGAGACGAGTTCTGCATTCCTGTAGTGCAGCCTCCAGATAGCAGATGAAGAGAACTGGGCTGAGACTGTCGCCTTGTGGTGTTCCAATAGTGCTCTCAAACGGTTCAGCTGTGGCACTTGCAACCTTAACAGTGATAGTTGTGTTGTGGAGTAGGTGGTGGATGAGACATGTGCAATCTGGATTGGTGATTGCAGACATCACCTCCAGCAGCTTCAGGCGGTTAATCGTATCGAAGGCCTTGGACATGTCCAGGCCTAGAATGTGAAATTGCTGTCGGTAACGAATGGCTCTTGCAGCGATCCACCGCTGGGTCCATACCACGTCCGCTGTACTACGGCCCGGGCGGAAGCCGGACTGTGTAGTACCAAGATGACGAGAGAGTGCCCCGGATTCCGTGATGCGCCGAAGCACAATGATCGATATCACTTTGCGGATAGAGTTCATGTATATGCGCCTCGTTAAAATAATGGCTTTTACAGTAGCTCTCACACTCTTCAAATAGCACGTACCCACTCATCGCACAGTATCCATCCACACATCCAGTACATTTCCTACATTTACACATCCACTTATCATTACCTGTCACAAGCTACATAATGCTACTGTTCGCTGTGACTTGTTGCTGTTTCAAGTTAACGTTACGAATTTTGCTATACCGGTCACCACTCCCTAAACATTTTGGTTATACATGTATATTGAGTGTTTGGGTTATTCCTAATTTAGTGACGACTTTCCACTGATGAGTGTCACGCGAAAACGTTTTGGAAATTAGTACATTTTTCTTTTACATGGTTGTGACGGCACAATGTGTTTTATTCATTGCCATTTCACGCCTACTGTCTCCTCCACGAGTGTTTTTAAAAGTAATTTCATTGTGTTTGTTTTGCCTGCAAAAGAGGCTAATGCCATGCATGCTTGTACTGGTACTCATGTCTGGTGAAACATTAATATTTAGAAAAAGAAGAGCACGACTTGGGTACAGAACGTGTACATTGAAAAAACCAATCAACAGGCAGCTGGATCTACTAGTGGTGGAGTGAATTGTCATAAAAATCGGAGTGATGAAATCTCATGAGCTTGCCAATGAGCCAAGTGTAAGAATACGACAATTAAGACAACTACTAGTATGCAGTGTAAAATTTAATTTTTGAAAGGATTGGGAAAACTACGAATTCAAAGGATCAGTTTGAATACGCAGTGTAAGCAGTACCTTTGATATGAACGGCATACATGATGTACAACAACTAAAACAGACCTCAGGACACGGTGGGGAATGGCTAGTTTTGTGTTGGGCACGTAAAAAAACAGCTGTTAAAAAGACGCAGGCGCCGCAAACCTACATGTATGTTAGGTCCGGTAGCAACCGATACCATGGACACCATGGATACCGAAACACAAAACAACAGAACACTAAGTCGTGTTGTGCCTCTTGAAGTAAAACGATTCGAAAGGTCCAAAAAAAATCTCATAGAAAAATAGCCAACTCAACATTGCCGTCACATTACGCAAATGGCTGGCAAAGGGACACAGAAGACAACAAGGGACAGTTAAGTCTGAGATGAATCCCTAGAAGTGCTGAAATTGCCATGAGAGATGGGGCGTCCACAGAAAGTGAAGACATTTCACGGAAAGTAGAGATTTCATGGGGAAAGTAGACATTTCACAGGAATTAGAGATATATTTCGTAGCAGGATCCAGCAGGAGATGATCGTTGTGTGCGGCATAAGATACTGAGTGTAGGCTGGTGGTCTCAGGCGCCAACAGCAGTTCTCAGAATGCGAACGACGGCTTACTCTGTCTTCACCTTCCCGGCAATGGGCTTCTCCCGTGTGAGACGGATCATTTCCGTCGAATTGCGGTAGATGAGGAACAGCTGGCCAACAAGGCGCTCCTCCAAGCCATAGCGTCCACTTTCACGCACCAAGTAAATGTCTTTGACAAGGCCGTGAATGGCATCCGGATTTGGCAGGTCGTCGAAGGGAATGCGATGCGAGATGTTCTTGAAGAACAGTCGCAGGAACTGGCCGACAACCAGCACTAGAGAGATGTAGAGACCAATGATCCTGTAACCACACAACAACATCAAGAGTGGGGCTGAGTGAGTAGGCGATCAAGTGGAGGGAGTGAGCGACCAGGTGAACAGGTGTGCAAGAGAGTGAATGAGTGAGAGAGTGAGTGAATGAGTGAGTGAGTGAGTGAGAGTGACAGAGAGTGATGGAGAGAGAGAGAGAGAGAGAGAGAGAGAGAGAGAGAGAGAGAGAGAGAGAGAGAGAGAGAGTGTGTGTGATGGAGAGAGAGAGAGAGAGAGAGTGATGGAGAGAGAGTGAACGAGAGGGAGAGAGAGAGAGAGAGAGAGAGAGAGAGAGAGAGAGAGAGAGAGAGAGAGAGAGAGAGAGAGAGAGAGAGAGGGAGAGAGAGGAGGAGGAGAGAGAGTAAGTTACATTTATAAAGACAGGTAAGTCTAACAAATGAGGACTGAGACCTCTACAACAGGGTTTTTACGCCTGAAAGCAGGTGCATGATTTAACAAGCAGGTTGTCAGTCTAGATTTTATGCGCAGATGGAGAAAAAATGAGAGAGAGAGAGAGAGAGAGAGAGAGAGAGAGAGAGAGAGAGAGAGAGAGAAAGAGAGAGAGAGAGAGAGACGGAGAGAGAGAGAGAGAGAGAGAGAGAGAGACGGAGAGAGAGACGGAGAGAGAGAGAGAGAGAGAGAGAGAGAGAGAGAGAGACGGAAGAGAGAGACGGAGAGAGAGAGAGATAGATAGATAGATAGAGAAAGAGAGAGAGAGAGAGAGAGAGAGAGAGAGAGAGAGAGAGAGAGAGAGAGAGAGAGAGAGAGAGAGAGCTACAGAAAGAGAGCTACGGAGTGAGAGAGCAGACAAATGAGGAAGTGACCAAGTGATCACATGACCACGTGACCATGTGAGGGGTGGGGTTCATTTGTTCTTGAGGGAGTAAACAATCGAGCGAGTACAGCGGCCCCAAATGCAGAAAATACAGTAACACAGAGGTAGCACAACATGACAACTCCAGCACACTGCAACACAGCCACTCACCCTTGCCCGGCTAATATGGAGAACTGAGGCGCAGCGATCTTCGGACTGAATATGATCATCTCCACACTGTTAGTGGCGTTCACACCACCGCCGCTACCGCTACCAGGGTTAGTGATGACGTGCTTTCCTTCGCTGTAGAGTGACCACCAGCGCTGCGGCGCGTCCGACCCCGGTGGGTACGTGCTCAGTGCTAGCTGTATACTCACCGGGTGATCCCCTGTGTGCACACAGACAGTGTAGGTGACAATGCAACAATAAGACTATGCAAGAGGTACACAAAAGGAAGTAAAATAGGGCTGCTTCGCTGTTACTCAGAGTTTCATGGCAAAAAACAATCATCAGACAACACTAAGAAAACGTGGATTACGGAAGAGCCCATTCATCCAAGATAGTCAATTTGTGACCGAATTGAGGCTCAAAATCCCACTTTAAATTTCGAAAAATCCGAGATTTGGACCTGCTCCTCCATACATTTTGCCATGGGTTACCACTCTTGATTTTTGAAAAACCTGGCCGAATGTTAAACTCCCTATACTTGGACTTTTCGGCCTCAAATGTGGCAAGGAAGCACGGGTCACACAATGCAGAACGTACGGTATTATCACGACGTCTATCACAATTAGGGGTGAAACGAAGGTCTCAAATTCCCATTCGAACCTTCTTTATTAAAGCGAACGAAGGTGTCGAAGGATTCTTTTTAACATGATCACGGAAACGCTCAAAAATCTTGAAAATATAAAAAGGGGGCAAAAATCCGAACCCAATACTTACATTGTATGTGCAATTTGTTTCTGATCTGCTGGTATCAATGTATCCATTCCAGGTAAGAAAATACTTTGGCCCAGCTCACAACTATAGATAGAGGCAAGGTTTTAACATACTCTTGATAGAGGCCATACCTAATACCTGTTTGTGAGTCAATTGTCCATATTTCTGACAATTTAGATCAGTGTACTTGGGATCGTGTACAGACTTGCTAGCCTTGGCCTTTTTGACACAAAGCGACAAGAGATCACTGCTCTAGTGTACAGCCAGTTTGAGTGCTTGAACAATACCAAAATGGACGGAAAAGAGCCATATTGCGTAGTAAATATCAGATACCCAACTTCATCAAAAATTGTCAAATCTGGATCTGCTCGCATCGAGCGGGTGCATTGGTGATTGAGAGTAGAGTGAATAGTCACTAGGTGAGGAACTTCACCTGCCTCGAGGATTTCAGGCCATCGCTGCGCTCCCTCTCGCTGCTGCTGGGAGAGTGAATACTGCAATGGCTTCAGCGATGCAAACTTTTATTTTCGATTCAAATTATGAGACTACACTCGTATCGCTGCTACAACGTTCTCCAGACACAATCACTAGCAGATATCAACGGCAGCTACAGCAAGCTATATTCCTGGTACAAGCAGCATAAGTGAGCGAAAACACGATCGAAATCGCAAAACTACACTCCTACTACTACTAGTATCGCAGAGCACCAAACACTCGACGAATCAAAAAAGCATCCACGAGTACACCATGGTAGATCTACACACCAACGCAAAACGGGAACACACTGGTGACTGGAACAGGGCCAGTTCTTCACTGACTTGTCACTTCTTCAGTTCCGGTGCGCACGCGGACCGTGCCCCTACTTGTAGTACAGCATGTACAGTGCTAGTGCATGCAGTACGACTACGAGTACATCGCACAAGATCAATGCATTGATGCATGCGGTAAACCCGTGTCGACCTTCGTTCGAATCAAAAACGAAGGTTCGTTTCAAAGGAAAACGAAGGTCCTTCGAACCTTCGACTACTTCGTTTCACCCCTAATCACAATACTTGCGAGATATTATTATTTTAAATTTAAAAAAAAAACTGCCGTGTTCAGGTTCGCTCGTGCCGGATAGATTCCAGTAAGGGGATGATGATTAGATGATGTTGAGCTACGTGATAAAAAAATTAAAAAAAGAACTTGTGAGATAGCAAAAAAAAAAGAAGGAGACAATACACAGTGTCGTGTGTCCCGGCCGGTGAACTCACGATTCAGGGCAGACATGGCCTTCGCGACGCCGTTCGATGGAGCGTTGATGAACGTGGGGAAGATGCTTTTAAACGTACTGCGCAGCATACATATGTACAGACACACGCCAGCACATACGTACGCGCACCAACATACGTACACGCACACACATACGTACACGCACCAACATACGTACACGCACACACAAAGCATCGGTGTCTACAAACATGTAGATATCATGACTTTACGCCAGTATTCAAAAGTGCGAGGGATTGAAAATGGGAAAAGGGCTGAAGAAAAAATTGACTCTCACCACCTCAAGAGGGACCTTTGCTTACGGCTAGCGATGCTCTAGCCACCGAGCTATGGTGTTGCGCGGTCATCCCAGCAGAGACCGTTCAACACTTTCTTCAGACTTCGAAATTCACGCTCCCTGTCAAAGTAAACAAGCTTGTGATAGGGATATCGAACACACTGCGCACGGGGTTTGCGCAGTTTTCAGCGCTACCATACCAATGTACGTACTGGCGGGGACAAAAAATTGACGCAAATAAAATGGCGACTGGTCGAACGTGGCTCGCGACCTACATAATTTTGAATAATTTGAAAGCACATACTGCTGTGAACAGACCCCCATTGTTTCGATTCTGATGATGTCCGACTACTGTGCACCTCACTTTGGGCATCCTCTGCCAGCAATTACACTAACGAACTTATACAAAACACACAGTATTAAAAATCGGTGAAGGACGACAGGCCCATGTTCGTCGATCGTCCAGGCTTCTTCATCTTCCTGAGTTCTTCTTGAATGATCGACCTTGCGAACTTTTGACCTCTGGGACCTTGGATTGCTTCGGTCAATTTTTTTCTTGCTTGGCACATGGATAGATCCATGGGTGAGGTACCAGTTCACCAAAAATTAGAAGATTTCTCCGGTGGGAACGTTGTAAAAAATCGCCTACGATTCACCCATGCTCCTTGGGCATCGAAGGACAAATTTGAAAATTCGTTTGAAAAAAGTCCTGGGGCTCGGCTCATCTGTAGTTGATCGCGTGGCTGTTACCGTAGGCATGTCACTCTCTACCCACGAATCCTTCACCAGCAGCGAATATACGAAGCAATCAACGAAACGGCAGATCCTGAGCGCAAGGTTCCGACTTCAGCCGCCACTCTCCTTCTTCTCCATCAAGACTCCTTCCAGTTTCCCGGCAAAAATATTCATTTTCTGACTTGGACTTTTCTGGCCGCGCGCGCGGCATGCTGGCATGTACAAAATTCGATTACATCATAACTGCGCAAACCCCCTGCGCAGTGTGTTCGCTGATATCCCTACTTGTGAGACGCTACACCCACAGTATCTCAACAGGTCAGGCGTAAACTAGCAATGGCATAGGTCCAACAAGTTGTTTATTATTATTATTATTACTTGCATGTACGCGTTGGAGTCAACCATGCAAGCATGATCCACAACTTCGCTTATGCTGAACATGATAAACAGGACTATGACAGGGGAAAGAAATTGAGCTAGAACGATGATACAATGATATAATTATCATATACAAGAAGTTATTTTACCTTTTTAAAATATGCACTTTGGAATTTGGATGCCAATCAACATGCTCATACTCCTCACTATATACTCAAGCGCCACGCTCCGTACCGCAAAGCTAGCAGATTGTCCCTTCGGTATCATTGCCCTCGGTAATTGCCATGTTCAAGGTGTGTGTGTGTGTGTGTGTGTGTATGTATGCGTGCATATGTGTGTGTGTGTCGTGTGTCTGTATGTGTGCGCATGTGTGCGTGCGTGTGTACGTGTGCGCATGTGCGCGTATGTGTGTGTGTGTCGTATGTCTGTATGTGTGCGCATGTGTGCGTACGTGTGTGCGTGTGCGCATGTGTGCATGTGTGTGTGCGTGTGTGCTTGTGTATGTGCGTGCGTATGTGCACACAGCACATCAGTATGGAGATCTTACACATTCTGCGCATCTCCTGTGAGGATTGCCAGCAGCTGTGCACGCTCGTCATCGGTTACAAACTTGCTGGTGGAGCCAGACACGGCATCGGACGCAAGACCAGTTGCCGATCGCCTGCACAGACACACACAGAGACAGACGGACCGTCAGATATACTAGTATACACAGATGGAAATATGTACTCAAAGTATTCAAAGTACATATTCATCATATGCACGTTGATGGGATTGCTAACTGTGATTTTCGGAAAAAAACGCGACGAGACTTTGGTGTGAATGAAAAGTTGAAATTATTGCACGAAAAGCTGGGGGTGCAAAATTCGAAAGCGGAAAGAACAGGAGAAAAGAAACTGCACTGGTCATCCAATCGGGGCCTGTGTAAAGAAACAACCATTTCATTGCATCTATACAAAAGAAAAAGGACCAAGGAACTACAAGTTACGCTATAATGTCCACTAACACCACCAGTTACTAAACAATCAGCTCATGCGATAACATTGCACGGCACTGACTGACGGTACTGACTGACGGTACTGACTGACGGTACTGACTGACGGTACTGACTGACGGTACTGACTGACGGTACTGACTTTCTACAACTAACTGTGTTAGCGAACATTATAGCGTAACTTCAAGAACAGAGATCCGGCCAAGGACAGACCAAGCACAAAGAAGCAAGGTGTGTACCTTGCCACTGAGGGGGAGGCGCAGGAGTCTCAAGCAGCAGCAACTACCATGAAAGCCAGTGGCGCTGGGAATTTGGCTTTGCGAACCGTACCAGTCATGATCGGCAATGGCAACAGACGTGTGCGTATCAATGCCCTACTGGACGACGGCAGCACGCAGACGTATGTCAGCGCCCGAGTAGCAGCAGAACTTCAGCTAAGTGGACCAAGCTCCAAGATATCAGTCGGAGTACTAAACGGACAGCGCTCAACGTACGACACCCAGGACGTCGACGTGCAGCTCAGCAGCGTAGATGGCAGCTGGGAGCGCAAGATCCAGGCGAATACGCTACAGCAAATCACGGACGACATGCACGCAGTGAATTGGTCAACAGAGCAGCGGCATTGGCCACATCTCAAGGAAGTGACATTTGCCAGCTTGCCGACGCGTAGAGAGGTAGATATGCTCATCGGCATTGACCAACCAGACATCCATTGTGCGCTGGAAGAGATACGTGGAGCTCCTGGAGAACCTGTGGCGCGTCTGACAGTGTTAGGGTGGACATGTGTCGGACCCACGACGTCGACAATGGCTAGATCGTCATTGCTCCAGTACAGCTATGCGTCAGTGGTACAAGACCAGTCAGATGTAAACACAGAGCTAAACCGCACGAGGGCGAGTGGTACCAACCCGTCATTTCTACACTGTGACTCAGCCGACTGGCCGACATTGCCAGCAGGTCCACCGACAGCCCCGAGCGCTGAAGAGTTTAAGCAGAGAAGCGCAGCGGAAGCAGTGAGCTTTGTAACTGTTGCACAGCCGCCAGGATTTCGCCTGAAGCCCGAGCGATATTCCGATTGGTTGCGTCTCGTGCGAGTGACAGCGTGGGTTATGCGCTTCATCGGCAACTCCGCTGGCCGGAATCGCATCACATGTGAACTGACAGCAGCGAAGATCAGTGACGCCGAGCAGTTGTGGATCGTGCAAGCTCAGAGCGAGGCGTTTAGCGACGAGCTGAAGAGTGTGCGCAACAAGCAAGCAGTGCCAGCCAGATCAGCGCTACTGAAGCTCAACCCCAAGGTCGACGCAGATGGGTTGCTGCGATGCGACGGCCGGACGCAGTACGCCGAGTGGCTGCCACACAACGTGACATTTCCAGTGATCTTGCCACGCAATCATCACATCACGCAGCTTATTGTGAAGCACCATCACGAGCTGCAGCAGCATGGCGGCACAAACCAGACGCTGTCGTCGCTAAGCTCAACGTTCTGGGTAGTGTCTGCCCGTGAAGCCATTCAAGAGTGGGTGCCAGCCCTGAACCGCCGGACCAAGTGGCCGCATGCACAGAAGAGCCTGCAGCCTGATGATGCCGTTCTCGTACTGCAGTCGGACACTCCGCTTGGACAGTGGCCTCTGGGACGTGTGGTCAAGGTGTTCCCAGGACCAGATGGCAAGGTGCGTGTCGCCGAGGTAGTGGTGTGCGGCAAGCGCTACGCTCGCCCGATTACTTAGCTGAGCCCACTGGAGTTCTGAGCAGTGTTGATCCGTGTCTGATCAAGAGGGGGAGAATGTTCTGAAGACAGTATGCAGTGGTGTGCGTTCTGTGTGTTTTCTGTGGGTTCTGTGTGCGTTCTCTGTGCGATCTGTGTGCGCTCTGTTCTCTTGTGTATTCCCTGTGCGATCTGTGTGTTCTTCATGTACTGTCCAGAAGACTCCAGATATTGTAGAATTTACGAGTGTCACAATTATGTATCTACTGTGTTTATTCTATATTATTTTTGTTAATCCTTCGTTCTTCCGAGAGCACAGTCAAAGCTAGGAGTTAGTTACTAGTACATCACTGATTGTTACAAGCAGTTTACAGGTTACAAAACAGCTGGTGTTGTTTCTAAGTTGATCGTCTCGAATTTGAATTGTTACTTATCTTTGCATTCCTTCAGAAAGTCCGTTCTGCAGCTCTAGTCCGTCCAAGTGTAGGTTTTGCTCTGACAAGGCTTGCCTTCACCATGTGGGTGCTAACACTCTCTGACAGGACATGGTTGAAATTGCTTTGAGTTCCTATCAGCACAGATCTTCGTTTTCCTTGTTCTGTGAACTTCCTTTGACTTCTACTTTCGAATTTCACTGTTTGTATTATTTTCTGACTTTTCTTGATTTTCCATTATTTTTGTCCACTGCGTGCCAGTACAGCTTGTGTATCGTCATGGCAGCGTGACATCATTGTTTTTCTCATATGCATGCACGTGATCTACGCATTTCTTCTTTGGAGCGCTGTGTGCCACGTAGCTTTGCGTGCGCCAGTGTCTTCGTTGTTGAGAGTTCTTGAGAAGACGAGCAAGTTGTCGTTTCGCTTTCTGATGTGCGGTGGAAAGCGTCTCCACGCGTACAGAACTACAAGTTACGCTATAATGTCCACTAACACCACCAGTTACTAAACAATCAGCTCATGTGATAACATTGCACGGCTCTGACTGACGGTACTGACTGACGATACTGACTGACGGTACTGACTGACGGTACTGACTGACGGTACTGACTGACGGTACTGACTGACTGACGGTACTGACTGACGGTACTGACTGACGGTACTGACTGACGATACTGACTGACGGTACTGACTGACGATACTGACTGACGGTACTGACTGACGGTACTGACTGACGGTACTGACTGACGGTACTGACTGACGGTACTGACTGACGGTACTGACTGACTGACGGTACTGACTGACGGTACTGACTGACGGTACTGACTGACGAAACTGACTGACGGCACTGACTGACGGCACTGACTGACGGCACTGACTGACGGCACTGACTGACGGTACTGACTGACGGTACTGACTGACGGTACTGACTGACGGTACTGACTGACGGTACTGACTGACGATACTGACTGACGGTACTGACATTCTACAACTAACTGTGTTAGTGGACATTATAGTGTAACTTTTAGTTCATTGGTCCTTTTTATTTTTTCTATAAATTTATCCTTGGCTCTCCATCCGAGTCCATTCATTGCATCTCCTAATATTAGGGTCCCTCGAGTCCAACACGGTCTCTTCGCAGTATTTGTCACTTGAAGTATTCAGCAACGTTTTAGGCCCTGGCCTGGCCCATCAGCAGGCCCATCATCTGGCCCATCAGCAGGATAAGAAAAAAAATTATGCAAACATACAATGAACTTAGAAAAGGTTATCTCCTAAGATGTGAATTACAGTAAAACCTGTGACTAACGACCACTCCTTGGGGCCAGAGAAAGCGATCTTTAGTGGCAGGTGGTCCTTACGTAGAGGTTTGCACCGCACAACCATATATGAATGTGAGACCGTCCGTGCCTGGCAAAGTGGTCTGTAGTAACAGGCCGGTCGCTAGTGACGGTGGTCTTTAGTGACATGTTTTACTGTAAAGGGGCTAGGACACAAGGTTCAGATGAATGGAGTGTCGATACAGGTTGGGCTGTCTTGCACCGAGGGCCGGCTAAAGCGGTGAACACAACGACGACGGCACTACAGTGCGTTTCAAAAAGTATAGACCGCTGGTTTCGAAAAACTGTTCGGCCAGCATCTGTACCACATAAAATCTGTGAACCCTTTGTGCATAAAATGCCCGAAATTGGGCGCTTGTTATCCAATCGCCTAGAAATTTATATGAGGAAATTTGGGAGAACTGCCTGAACAATATCCCGAAGAAATTCCCTCAAAAGTTCAAAATAAATTTGAATATTCGAAAAATGTCTAGAGGTACCGCACTACTGTAATAGCTCACCGTCTGAACGACCAGTGGAAATAGATGGGTAGAAAGGACTTGCTCCCGGACAGCTCCGTCTTGAGCGCCTCCAGAGCCGGAGGGCTGATAGCCCATAGCGAGCCGGAGCGCGACGGGATGAGAAAGTGAGACACGTCCGTGTATGTGTACGTGGAGATCTCGTTCAGCGCCGCTTGCGACCGGTTGGCCTGCTCGTCACCGGGGGAAAGGAAAGCAAAGCATAGAACATGACACAACACTGATGCACTGGGTGAAGACACATGTTTGTACAGCGTCAGACATTAGCTGGCGTTTCGCACGAGTTGTGTGGGCGTTGAGTAGTGCGAGTGGCAAGTAAATATCTAAGTCAAAGCATAGAATAGAACACGACACAACAACACTAATGCAATGCATACAGACTCTTTTTGTACAGGGTCAGACACTGAGCGATTTTAATTGTCGGTAAACTTCAACGCAGTCACGTACACATGCATAACTCTTCACTTCTCCAACTCCAAAAACCGTCTCTTTACTGCAAATCATTTTAAATTCCACCAAATTCCACCAAATTCCACCAAATTCCCCGAACATTTGGTGGAATTTAAAGTGATTCTCAGTAAAGAGATCGTTTTTGAAGTTGGAGAAGTGAAGACTTATACATGGGTAAGACACTTGCCGATGTTTCAGAGGCGTTGAGTAGTGCGAGCGGAAGGCATAATACGAGCTCGTATCTAAGTCAAGTTTCACATTCTCTTGCTGTAACTAACACATTGCAAGCATCTTGAACAGTGGAAGATGACATACTCATCCACTTTCTAGGTTAAAAACTTAAAGTGTAGGCACAAAGCAGTGTGCATGCTGTACAGCGGGACTCATCTAGTACGTAATCTGGTAAGATACTCAATCTGCGGACAGAACTGTTTCGTCCTTTGTGGACTCGTCAGCGCAGCACAGAGGAAATGAGGCCGAACCTGATAGCAATGGAAATAAAAATTTCCAATCAGGCCCGAACGTACCTTGCCAGAGTGCTCAAACTGCCAAGTCAGTGAGCTCTGCATAACGCAAACAGCAAAGGCACTACCCCACGCAAGAGTGCTCAACTGCTACAAGAGCAGGAGCGAAATGCTCATCTGGTAAGATATACAGTCAACTTTGCGTATAACGACACTTGGCGGGGCATCAGAAAAGTGTCCTTTTACCCGAAGTCTCATTATATGTATACAGGTAGAATGGCCTTTACTCTGGGCGTGGAAATTCTTTCGTTATTCGCGAATTGTCGTTATATCCGCAGTCGTTATTAGCCAAGTGGACTGTAGACAAAGTGTCTGAAGACCTTGCTGCAAATAGTGCTCAACACCCTAACAAGGGAAGAGCGCACTACACAAGGCAGAACAACAGAGACCAAAAAGCTTTCTCGTTACGTAACGAGAAAGCTTTTTGGTCTCTGTTGTTCTGCCTTGTGTAATATGATAAGATATCAAATTATTGCTTAGTTTTGACGCCACTCGCCTGTTTACACATGTTTCAAGACAGCCTCTCGAATGCTTCTTGTTTGACCCTACATTGTTTGTTTATTTGATTATTTCCCTCTGAGTCAAGTTGGTGCGAACGCACACGTGGAGATGCTCCAGTCTATAACTATGCTATTTTCCGTGGTTGGATTCACCCTCCCTTTCTTGTATTGGCTATGTATTATTATGTGCCATGAAGTGGAGACGATAAATAAATAAATAAAATAAATAAATGCCGTAGTCCATTCCGCTGTTCCGAGTGTCCATGCTGTTGTTCTACTGACACTGATAATTCTCTCCTTCTGCTTCCTCGTGTTCTGCTTTGCTTCTCCATATCTCTTCTATTCTGCTTCCTCGCGTTCTGCTTTGCTTCTCCGTCTCTCTTCTCTTCTGTTTCCGCTTCAAACCTGTAGTTGTTTGAGCTGCTCTCATGACTATTTGTGTTTTTTGAAAATCTTTCGTACCCGCGATCATGCGCTTCTACAACTGCGCTGTGCAGTATGTGCTATGGCTAGGGCTGTGTTTACATGAGAATTTTCAACCCGGGTCGAGTTCAACCCGGGTTCAAAGTCTGTACGATGGAAAAAAAATAGGTGGGTGTTTATATGAAGACAGTTGACCTGGGTCATTACTGATATACCGCCAAAAGTCCACTTCTAGAGTCCTGTATGGTCACGTGGATGCTTTCGCGTGAAATCTGACTGTGCAAACCTGGCGTGAGATACGCACAGAAGTACGGTGGTACGATTTCTCAATTTCAACCCCCCCCCCTACCCCAGGGGAGGGTTAAAATCAACCCGGGTCAAGTGCAATGCGTCATGTTAACGCGCCAGTCAATCTGTGTTCATGGCGGGTTGAAACTCGATCCGGGTCGAACTCAACCGGGGGTTGAAACGCCTGGTGTAAACACAGCCTATGAGTATGAGTCATGCTTGCACTATGATTCCTTTCGTATCACGTGTATGTGTATGTGTATGTGAAGGCACAAGGATGCTGTGGCTTTCCAGGCCCTTTTTGCTCCCTTGTGACGGGAATGGTCTTAGAGACTGCTTCTCCCATTCCCGTTGGCTTTCCATTCTCATTTTGTCATAATTATTTACACTCTTTCTGCATGCTCTGTAGGGTGATCCCCAAATTAATTATTGTTCATGTTCATGTATCACGAACAGCTAGTACTCTATACACTATCCACGTTTACAAACACACTTCATTTGCCATCTAACTACTCATCCTTAATCTACCTCTCACACCGTACTGGAAATATACAAAATTTCGGCACTTCACGATTTTTGACATTTCGGCGGCGATTTATTTTCGGCGTGGGGTAGAGGGCATGGTATAGTGCGACAGATGCTGTGAAAAATGTCATCGGCGTTTTAATTTAGGCATTTTGGGTCGGTGCCGGATATAGCCGAAATTAAATAGCTGCCGAAAATTTGTATATTTACAGAGTACAGTAAAACCTGGTTTAAGCGACCACCCCACGGTGCAAGCAAAAGCGTTCGTTCAAGCCAGGTGGTCTTTAGAACCAGGTCACACAGTGTCTGTGTAGAACTGTCGGTGCATGGAAAGACGGTTGTTAATGTTGTGTAATCGTAGGTGACATTTACGTTTTGTTGTTCTTTCATATTATTAGTATTTTATTATCAGAGTATAATCAATTCGTTCGTTGTTGTCAACGTGTACACGAGGTGCTGCTTGCCTTGAGTCAACAACACGGAATTCACGAGTTACGATTGTGTTTACTACGACGTTGCATGTTGTTTGTACATTTACAATCACGTACATGCAGCTTGGCAAGTTGTGTCACGATGCAATGCACACCAATTTATTTCACTACACGTATTTCTCGTAACACATCAATTCTTACTTCGTAGGTGTTTAGGTCCGGTCTTGCGTGACAGAGGTAGTTACTCTTAGTTAGCTTTCTCCATGATTGATTCTAACAACACGGACATTGATTCTAGCTTCGAACTGTTTCTTCTTTGTCTGCCTGTGCATTTTGTTCTCAAACAAATCCTTCGTTCAATGTGTTTATATTTTCGCGCTCTGCAGATTTGTTTGCCTCGCGCTCAGCTTTGTTTCCTTTTCTTTGTCAACTGCATTATTATGACGTATGACTTGTGTACGCACTTATCACGTGACCGTTTGACTGCATGCGCTATGCACGCTCTAGGCTAGTGCATTTGAGCGATCGTAGCGATCCGCTTTCCTTGCCGTTTCGTCTTCTCCGCTTCTTTACTCATTCGAGTCAGTGTCGCTGCACTAGTTTGTTTTGCAGTTTATCCACGTCGCAGTCGTTCATGGTCGCCATCTTTACATTTGATTTTGATGCGCAGCTGCATGCTGATGCAGCTGCCTTTTTCATTCTTTCGATGATCTTCTTTCCAATTTTATACTGAATCTACTGTATGTATTCTCTCACCCAAGTTTGCAACGGTTGTCGGTTGTAGCATGCCAAGGGTTGGATGCAGGGGTGGTTAATTAAGCTAGTAGTAGTAGAAACAATTCAGTAACAAGTGGTACCGAAACCCGATCGAACAGAGCCTCAGGACCGGTCGAGTGCTCGTGTAGAACTGCAGGAGGCAGTCGAGTGAATTTGAGTATTTGTAGTGTTTGTGGTGTTGGTTTGAGCTACACCAGTGCAGTGGCAGTGTAACCATGGCATCCATCAAAATGGATGGTTACTTGAGAGCGTTCAAAGGAAAAGGCGAAGACTTCCAGTTGTTTTGGAGGAAGTTTTTGGTTCTGTGCCGATTACAGAAACTGTCGACGGAAACCGACCGCATGGCATCGTTGCCATTGTTTTTGGATGGTGATGCCTTCCACCTGTTTGAGCAGTTGTCTGATACTGACAAGGCCAGTGAATCAGCAGTAAAGAAGGCCCTGGAGTCTGCTTACACCATGACCCCGGCGGATGCGTTCCGCCAATTTAAAGCGCGGACGCTCCGGGACGATGAGCCCGTGGATACCTACGTCACCGACCTGAAGCGCTTATTGGCGCTGTCCGGCCACACATGTGCCGACGACAAGGATATGGTGTTGCTCGAGCAATTGTTGGATGGCCTGTCCTTGGACTATGGACGGCAGGTGCGCATGGCGAGCACGGAGTCAGACCTGACTGTCACTAAGTGCGTCGCCAAAGTCCGTGCTCTGCGATCTACGGACGACTCCTGCCGCAAGCGTGCCAGTGTATCGGGAGCTGTTGCCGCTGCTGCTCCGGAACTTCGCCAGTCCAGTGTGTTGTGCTTCAACTGCAATGAGGTGGGGCACGTCCAGCGCAACTGTCCACATCGCCGGTACCAGAAGGGCGGACGGCAGCAGAGGGGCAATGAGAAGCCACGCCCTCCGCCCAAGGAGCAGAGACCGCTTATGTGCTTCTTTTGCGATCAAGAGGGCCACATGAAGAGGGACTGTCGGTTGCGCCGCAAGTTCCTCGCCTCTTTGGCACAGTCCTCGGCAGCAGCTGCAGAGCCAGTGCAGTCTGACAGGTGCCTGTGCATGGCGAATTTGGCACGGCCGGGATTGCCAAAGGTCTTTGTTGATGTGTCCTGTGACACTGCATCGGGAGTCCGTGTGCGGTCCGTCATAGACACTGGTTCTACCCGGACGTTGGTGACGTCAGCACTGGTCGACCAGCTCGGGACTCCTGTGACGGCCCACACGGGCCAACCAGTGGTGGCGCTGGATGGCCAACCCTTGCGTATCCTGGGCAGTGCGCGGTTGAAGTTCGTCCGGGAAGATGATTGTGTCAGTATCCCCGCTGTCGCCATGGAGGTTCTCGTCGTTCCCAGTCTGTCTGTGGTCGGCACTGATGTTCTGCTCGGGTCTGACACTATTGCGCAGTGTGGGGGTCTGCACCTGCGCTACGATGACGATGGCAGCTTGTGCTGCGTGACGCTCGGCCAGCATGCCGACGTGACAGCTAGTGTGGCCGACGTTCCACTGCGGCATGTCAGCTGTCAGACCGACGGGGACGACATCATCCTGACGTCCGACGATGGGTCAGTACGTTGGGACGCCACGCAGCGTTGCTGGACCCTCAACTGGCAATGGCGAGATGGCAAGCCACCGCATGCACCAGTCGGCCACGGGATCGGCGAGTATTCCCGCTCCAAACTGACAGACGAGGAAGAGCGCAAGTTTGGTGCAGAGATCCAGGGCTGGATCGATGCTGGGTGGATGGTGCCTCACGACGAGGCTGTTCATGGTGCTCCGGAATGCGTCTTGCCGTTGTTGGCAGTCAGCCAGCCGCACAAGGCCAGCACACCTGTCCGTCCGTGTCTGGACTACCGGCTACTGAACGAACGACTGATCTCAAGTCCTGGTCTAGACGCCCCAGCATGTGCCGAGACGCTGCGGTCGTGGCGCGTCAAGGGCCCTGATGGTTATGTCCTGGTTGATCTGAAGAAGGCATACCTTCAAGTTCGTGTTCACCCTGATCTGCTGCGCTACCAGGTCGTGGTATGGCGAGGTCGCTCTTACGTCATGACGCGGATGGGATTCGGCCTGAACATTGCGCCGAAATTTATGGACATCATTGTGCGCTGGGTGACTCGAGAGTTTCATGACGTCGACAACTATATTGACGACGTTCGTGTACCTGTTGCCCTGACAGAGACGGTGACTGCGCGCCTGGCTAGCTATGGGCTGGAGACCAAGCCGGCGGAACCAATGCCTACCTCTCGTGTTCTCGGCTTGCAGTTGTCAACGCCGCCAGATGGCCGTACTGAGTGGCGCCGCCGTGACGGAGTCAAGACAGCGTTTGATGAGCCACTCACCAAGCGCAAGGTGTTTCAGTGGTGTGGGCGTCTCACCAGCCATTACCCCGTCGTTGGTTGGCTGCGGCCCGCGTGCAGTATGGCGAAGCGTTTGGCATGCCTAGAGAGCTGCGGCTGGGACGACACGGTGTCACCTGAGTTGCTGCAGATATGTGTTGACCTGCAGCAAAGGCTCCACAATCATGATCCGGTGCATGGTGTATGGCATGCTGATCTGACCAGTTCTGCTACTGTGTGGTGCGATGCTTCGGACCTTGCCCTCGGTGCGTCGTTGGAGATCGGGGGTGACGTGGTTGAAGATGGCACGTGGATGCGCCAAGTCAGCGATCGTCGCCACATCAACGTGGCTGAGTTGGACGCGGCCATCAAGGGCGTCAAGCTTGCAGTGTCATGGAATGTGCGGGATTTGCTGGTCAAAACCGACTCCAAGACAGTCGCTGCCTGGTTGGACCAAGTGTTCACCAATGCCCAGCGAGTGCGGACTAAGGGGTTGAATGATGTTCTCATTCAACGGCGTCTCCAGGTCCTTGCTGATCTACTCGATGTAACTGGTTTACGTGCACGAATCGAGTGGGTGCCCAGTGCAGAGAACCGCGCCGACGTTCTCACCCGTGTTCCGGACCTGTGGAATCAGCGTGCCAAGTCGTTGTTGCAGCGTGCTGAGCAGCCGCCTGATGTTCCTGAGCCGCCGCCTGCTGCTGATCCGGATGAGTGTGTCGCCGCTGCGCCAAGTGTCCACCTGCCGTGTGCACTTCGTTTGACCGACATTACCGCAGCTCAGGCCGATGACGCTACGCTACAGTCCGTCATCAGTGGCCTTCAACATGATCAGCCACTACCCAGTGAGTACCGTAATGTTCGTACGCAGTTGTTGCTTGATGATGGTGTATTGTATCGGTCTGTCAAATCGCCTGTTGATGGCATTGTGATAGTTCCTGTTGTGCCTGCTGCGTTAGTCTCTGCTGTGGTTTCTAATGCTCATGAAGTGTCTGGTCATGGCTCTTGGGAGAAGATGTACTATATGTTGCGTCAGTGCTGCTTCTTTCCTGGTCTTGCGTCTGTGTGTCAGAGTTTTGTGTCTCAGTGTTTGCAATGCAGTGCTGCTAACCCTCGTCGTGGTCCGTCTGTTGCTGCTTCGCGTCATGCTATTTCTGGTCGCCCATGGGGTGAGGTGGTGTTAGATGTTCTAGAGCTTGGCTCGAGTAATGGTTCCCCCTTTCATTGTGTCTTGGTGTGTGTTGACACTTTCACCAAGTGGGTTGAAATTGCTCCGCTACAGCGCCATGATGCTGCTTCTGTTGCTGCTGCTTTTGTGCGGATGTGTCAGGTCTGGGGTGCACCAGATAGTGTTCGTACGGATAATGGTACGGAATTTTGCAATGCCGTTGTGTCTTCCCTGTTTTCGGTTATGGGTGTTACTGTTCGTACTGGTGCTGTGCGTCACCCGCAATCACAAGGGTCTGCGGAGCGCATGAATCGCACTATGCTCGGGCTGATGCGCAAGGTTTTAGATTCGTCCACTGGTGATTGGCTGTTGGACCTTGATATGCTCTTGTACTGCTACCGTAATCGCCCCCATAGTGCAACTGGTCTGTCGCCCATGCAAGCTATGGTTGGTTGGCAGCCACCTCATCTGTTAATTGCATCCGAGCCATTGCTGTACTCGGCGAGTCATTGGGTGGATACCCTGTCTGCTCGTTCAGCACGCATTCGAGATTTGGTGGATGATGCTTTGTCCCGAACAGACTTTATCGAGCCCGTCCAACCGTGCCCTTACCAGGTTGGTGATTGTGTCCTGTTGTTGCGTCCTGACCGTCACCAGAAACGTCAGTCTGCTTTCGAGGACGGTTGGGTTGTACAGTCTGTTGTTTCGCCCTCCACTGTTAGTATTTCGAAGCCTGGTCGTCGAGACAAGACTGTCAATGTCGCCCTGTTGAAGTCTGTTCCCGTTCGTGAGCCTGCTGTTCTTAATGTTCCAGCTCCTGTTGTTGCTGAGTTGCCCGAGGAGGAGGAATCGCTAGTCAGTCTAGATTGGCCTATTCCTGTCGTTCAGCATGGTTATGGGTTGCGCGATCGTGCTTCGATTCGCCCCCCTGTTCGCCTCTCCTTGTAAATTCACCTGGGGGAGAGGTGTTGTGTAATCGTAGGTGACATTTACGTTTTGTTGTTCTTTCATATTATTAGTATTTTATTATCAGAGTATAATCAATTCGTTCGTTGTTGTCAACGTGTACACGAGGTGCTGCTTGCCTTGAGTCAACAACACGGAATTCACGAGTTACGATTGTGTTTACTACGACGTTGCATGTTGTTTGTACATTTACAATCACGTACATGCAGCTTGGCAAGTTGTGTCACGATGCAATGCACACCAATTTATTTCACTACACGTATTTCTCGTAACACATCAATTCTTACTTCGTAGGTGTTTAGGTCCGGTCTTGCGTGACAGAGGTAGTTACTCTTAGTTAGCTTTCTCCATGATTGATTCTAACAACACGGACATTGATTCTAGCTTCGAACTGTTTCTTCTTTGTCTGCCTGTGCATTTTGTTCTCAAACAAATCCTTCGTTCAATGTGTTTATATTTTCGCGCTCTGCAGATTTGTTTGCCTCGCGCTCAGCTTTGTTTCCTTTTCTTTGTCAACTGCATTATTATGACGTATGACTTGTGTACGCACTTATCACGTGACCGTTTGACTGCATGCGCTATGCACGCTCTAGGCTAGTGCATTTGAGCGATCGTAGCGATCCGCTTTCCTTGCCGTTTCGTCTTCTCCGCTTCTTTACTCATTCGAGTCAGTGTCGCTGCACTAGTTTGTTTTGCAGTTTATCCACGTCGCAGTCGTTCATGGTCGCCATCTTTACATTTGATTTTGATGCGCAGCTGCATGCTGATGCAGCTGCCTTTTTCATTCTTTCGATGATCTTCTTTCCAATTTTATACTGAATCTACTGTATGTATTCTCTCACCCAAGTTTGCAACGGTTGTCGGTTGTAGCATGCCAAGGGTTGGATGCAGGGGTGGTTAATTAAGCTAGTAGTAGTAGAAACAATTCAGTAACATTAAGAGCAGTTGGTCGCTAAACCCAAAGGTTTACTGTACTGTAAAACTGGGAATTTTCGGTTGTGTAATATTTTCGGTATTTTCCAAAATCAAAGGTTTGGTAGCGCAAAAATTCGGTAAACCAGTTTTCCAGATCCAAAAATGCGTTTTGCACACTGTGTGGCATGGCTTGGTTGAATTTTGGACGTGTTTTATTTAAGGGAAAGATTACCTGTACCGAAGTTACCGAACATAAAACTCCACCGAAATTTTCCGGTTTTACAGTAATACCTAAAGCACTGACTAGCCATGAAAGCCTAACAGTTTTCTAGACTTGGACATGAGGCAGATTCTTGCCAGTATCAAGGGTAGCACTCATAAACCTCACCTTGACTTGATCGTAGTCACTTTGCGTGATATTCTTCACAAAGTCCTCTTCACCAGTGAAGCGAAACATCGGCTGGTGGGCACATGGGCACATGGGCATGTACACACACATGTACACACGCGCACACGCACACACACGCACACACAAAGATACACAGTCAAGACGTGTAAACCCTGACAACAATCACGACTGGGATGGAACTAGCTTCAAACAAACACGCAGCTAACAGTCTAACGCGGTAGCTTGACTTTCTGCACAGTGACACTGGCCCGTCAAATCCAACCACTAGCTTGAGAACTACGCCAATACGGGCACGGTGGACGCGCCTGTCCTGAGCTAAGATACACGACTACAGGGCGATAAGCACTGCATACTTGATGGCGGCGTGGAGAGTGTTCCAGCCGTCACACTCCATTGGTCAGTACCGTGCAACACTACTGTTGTCGAAGCTGCCGTTCCCCACAGAGCCACTGCTAGAGGCTCTTTGAGCAGTGCTTTAATTATACCCCCCTCCCCCCCCCCCCAACAGTGCTCTGAAGGAAATCCGATCAAGCGAGTGAATGCCACGCCGGGCGCTGCTGTGCAGCCCCAGACCTGCGATCACAGGGACGGTGAACTGGTGCAGGGCGCACACTTGCTTCACGAGATTGGATTTCATTATTTGATCAGCACCGTAGTTCTGTTGAGTATCCTTAGTAGTGAGATAATGGTAGCGACTTCGCCGATGATTTCATAGGAAAAGTGGTTGTCCCTCCACCACCGTTAAGTGTCAAGTCGGAGGAGGGTGCGGGCTCCGGTGCGGGGAGCAAACACTTTCCCTATCCTTAATAAAGTACTCAAATTAACCACCTAACCAACCAGCCAACACCAGAGCCATCAGCTGTATCCACATTTCGTCTCTCACCTCATAGCCAGCCAGCTGCACTGACAGCGTTCCCGAGTACGGCTGATTGGGCAGACTGGTAGAGTTGACCAAGGAGATAATAATAAGGGGCAGCCACAAGACAAGAATCAGCGCCGCTACTCCAAAACCACCCGTCACTATCTTTACGCCCACACCGATGATCTTGCCCAGCTTACGCGGAGTTCTCTGCGCGGAAAACAACAAACACGATTACGGACACACGCACGTACACACACACACACCCAGCACGCATGCTTGCATCCCCCCCCCCCACACTCAAACACACAAACCGCACATGCACGCACACAGAAAGACAGAAAGACACACAAACATACAACGGTAAATGCCCGAGGGGTGTGCAATGCAAGACGTGGCAGGGCTACAGGACACTCAGCATACCACATAATTATGTATTTTACGAGTTGGGTCTGTGAAGAATAGTAAAAAAAACCCGAAGAGCAGACAAAATAAAACACATAAAAGACATGTCTGTGGTGTCAGATAGAGTTTATTCACAACTCGCAAGGAGGACAACAAACGAAGAACAACATTCCAAGCAGTGTGCGAACACAAAAGGGAAGTGTGTACGAACACCAAGGAAAGTGTGTACGAGCGCATATGGAAGCAGGAGCTCTAGGCGGGTGCATACGGGGTGCGGGAGTTGCACCATATACGGAAGTATGCCATATACATCATGCCCCTCCTAAGATAAAAACGCACAAGTGTTTATCTAATCAACAAAAAATAATGTGAAAATTGCATGTGCGTAGCAAATGACATGTCGCGGAGCAGCAGCAACTTCCAACAGACTTGTAAAAGGGATAATTGCAAAAATTATATACATGAAGGTTTTCAACTGCGAAACAATGGGAATGACAATTGAATAGGTACAATGGACATCAACAACTGAACAGAGCGAATGTTAATTGTACGATTGTCCACGCGTTGAAATAATGTTAAAGGGGACATTCTGTCGCCGGGGACGTTGGCTTGTTCGAGGTGGTACCTGAACAGTTGACTGTGGCGACGACTGAGTCACAGGGACTGCTTGTGGTGCAGCGTCGGGTACGGGAGACGATGCAGGCATGGCTGTTGAAGCTGGAGTAGGAGGACGGTACGGGCGGAGGTAGCGACGGTTGCGCCAATATACGCGTCCACTCGGTAGCTTGACGTAGTAGTCGCGGTGGTCACCGATAGCCACGACAACGCCGCGGGAAGACCACCGTTTTGTCTTCGGGTGCTGAATGTCAACGTGCGTCCCGATAGACAAGTGGGGAAGCTCTCGGTGAGGCTGACTGGGAGGCTGGTCTACTCGATCAACATCATCCATGTCAGATGCGGTGTCTTGCCAGTGGGAGTCGAACTGGCTCCATTGGGCGAGAACGAAGGAGACGAGTGGGCGACCATACAGTAACTGGGCAGGACTTTTCCCCGAAGTGCCAGGAGTATTGCGCCACTCGAGAAGGCCACGCTGGAAAGCATCGGTGTCTAGATTACCATCATTGGTAGTCTTTTCCACCAGGTACTTCATTGCCTTCACGGCTGCCTCCGCATGTCCGTTCGACTGCGGGTAGTGAGGGGACGACTTGATATGACGGATTCCCCAGCGCTCGCAAAATTCAGCAAATCTGTGAGACGCAAACTGAGGACCGCCGTCCGTTGAAATGACCTGTGGTACGCCTACATCTGGGAACCACCTGCGGAAATGACGAATGACGTCAGCTGACGTGGCTGAGTGACCAAGCTTGGCTATGCATGGCCATCCGGTTAAGCGGTCGACGAATACCAAATACTCGCAACCTTGGCAACTGAAAAGGTCAGCACTAACACTTTCGAATGGCAAAGTGGGCTTGCGGTCAGAAATGGGCGGTTCGGCAGACTGAGACGGCTGAAATTCACGGCATGCATCACAGCTGCGGACTAGCGTGTCTAACTCACTGTTCATTCCGGGCCAATACACTGTCTGACGAGCACGTCGTTTGGTACGGGTCAGACCTTGGTGGGCTGCGTGAAGGTCGATCAGCGTTGACGCACGCAGAGAGGCTGGGACGACTATGCGTAGACCTTTCAGGACTACGCCATTGTCGGTGGACAAATGTTCACGCACGTTCCAATACGCACGAAGAGGCTCGGGCAGCTGCTTTTGTGCTGAGGGAAATCCGTTCTGGATATACCCGAGTAGCATCTGGTAGTCAGGATCAGATGCTGCTGCGGCACGGAGCTTAGCGAACTGGAGACTCTGGGGACCATCTTGGAGTAGACAGATACGGATACTGCGACAGGACAGTGCTGGATCTTCTCCAAGTTCATCATCACTAGTCGGGATTGATACAGGATGTCGTGAGAGGGCGTCTGCGAATACGTGCTCTGAACCCTTACGCCACGATGCTTTCACTTGATACGGACGAAGTTTCATGATCAATCGGAGTAGACGAGAGTTCTCAATCTGGTCAAGGGTGTAGCTGTTGATAATCGGAACAAGCGGACGATGGTCGGTGATTAGTGAGAACTGTGCACCAGATAGATACAAGCGGCACTTGTGCACTGCCCAGACGACTGCGAGGCACTCGAGCTCGATTACAGCGTACCTTGTTTCAGCGTCAGATAAGAAACGACTTCCACACTGGATGAGGTGCCATTGCTGGTCATCATGCTGTTGCCATACGGCAAATCCGAGGCCATTCTTCACAGATGCATCAGTCTCGAGACGGAGAGGCTTGCCAGGCTGGAAGAAAGCTAACACTGGTGACTCAGTCAGGATGGCTTTGACGGCTTCGAATGCTATGGTGTGCTGCTGATCCCAGGCGAACTCATTGCTGGTTTTCAGGAGTGGGCGAAGCGGCTCACTTAGTTCAGCAATGCGCGGTGTGAAGTCGCTGCATTGGTTGACCAAACCGAAGAATGAGCGGAGGTCAGTGCGGTTGCAGGGCACTTCGAACTGGCGAATGGCAGATGTCTTGCTACCATCAACGGCATAACCATCAGCATTGATGACGAATCCGCAGAACTGTACTTCACTAGCGCCGAATACAAACTTGTGTGGGCTGAGCGTAATGTGATGCTCACGGGCACGGTGAAGGACGTCACGAACGTGGGTGACGTGGTCTTGAAAATCGACGTCATGTACTAGGCCGTCATCAACGACTTTGACGAAGTTAGCGAGGCGGTCAAATGCTGCGTCTGTGCGGCAGTTGAATTCGTCACCTGCTGAGGACAGACCTTGAGGGTTGCGGCAATAGCGATACCGACCCCAGGGCGTGATGAATGTCGTGAGCGGCTTCGAGTCGTCGGACAGGGGTATTTGCCAGTACCCATGACGAGCGTCGAGTGTGGTGAAGAAACGGGCTTTACCAATAGCTGTCACGGCGTCACGCGGAGTACGAGCTGGGTGTGTTGGTCGGCAGACTTGGTCGTTGAGTTTACGCAAATCAACGGTGAGGCGCTTCTCGTTAGAAGACTTCTTATCTGCGATGACGATCGGGTGGCACCAGTCTGACGGTTCAGTGACTGGCTCAATAATTCCATTGATCACCATATCGTCCAGTTGAGATTTTATCTGGTCTCGGAATGCGAATGGGATTGCGCGGGCACCATTAACACGAGTTGGTGTGGCGTCAGATTGAAGCATTATCTCCATGGGAGGACCAGCCATGGGCTTCAATTGGGAGTCGTCGAATACATCAGCAAACTCTTGCATCAGCTGAGCCTTAACATCAGCAATGTCTGCACTACTGGGTTCGGACTTCACACGGGAGATCCGCGGCCAGGACTCAGGGAGAATGCCAAGAGCACGGAGAGATTGGCATGACAGCAACGCCTCGTCGAGGTCTTCATACACATGAAGTACCGTGGTGTGCTGGGCTGAGCCAATGGAGAGCGTGGCAGAAATCTTTCCCAGGCTAACCAGAGAGGTGCCGTTTGCTGCTGAAACAGTGTCGGAATCGACGGCAAGGTTCTCAGGGAAGCCACCTAGCTGGGAAAGATGTGCTGGCCCAATGGCGTCAACATCGCTGCCGGTGTCTGGAATCCATGTCATGGCTTCGGCGGTCGGTTCTGTGTTGAGCTGCGTGTGGACACTGAGTTCTAGACCATGTCGAACAGAGGCACGTTGCAACTTAAGTTGGCCGACTTTGCCGGATGCTGTTGGTTTGCCTTTGTGCGGGCACATGGACTGGAAATGTCCGACATGTTGACATCCGTTACATTTGCGTGACTTCGCAGGACATGTGCCTTTGGTGTGGGGACTGCGACCACAGCTGGGACACTTGTCACCTGCGGGCTTGTCTGGTGTAGACTTCACGGGTGCGGGCCGGCTCGCCTTCTGCTGTTTATAAGATGATTTCTTAGCTGCGTGCACGTGACCACTGGAGGGAATGCCAGAGGAAGTTTGGCAGGCTGCTTCCTCAGCACGGCAGAGCTTCACGGTTGCCTCCAGATCCAAGTTCTGGAGGGCCAGCAGCTTGTGACGCACGTCGTCCTCAAATACACCTGTCACAATGCGGTCACGTAGTATGTCGTTGTTGAATTTCAACAGGCCTGCCTTGCAGGGGTTGCACATCGCCTGGTTGCAGTTATGACATACTGAACACCCAGAAAAGTCACACGCGTGAAACAGTTCACGGAGGGCCGTATAAAAGGAGTCAAATGATTCCCCACGCTGCTGCCGTCTCTTGTAAAATTCGATTCGGTCGAGCAGCGGGTTCCTCTGCCGCCGGATATACTGCTGGAGGACCGGGATGGCATCAGCAATGTCAGCGTCTTCCGGGAAGGCGATAATGCCTTCTCGGATGAAACGGCGCAGGTCCTCATCTAGGGCCTGGCGGAACGCTGACATACGTGTATGGCGGTCGTGGCTGGCGAGACATTGGCATTGCGCATAGTCACGCCAGGCCTCCTCCCAAGCGGTAAATTCTGCCATTGTGGCAGTAGATAACAGTACTGGTCGTTCTGCGGACACAGACTTGGGTGCGGGTGGGGTTGTAGAACTAGTACTGGTCTGGTTGGACATCCTTTCCATCAGGGTCTGAAACTGTTGATCTCGCAGTGCAGACGCCTGTGCCTGAGTTGTCAGGAGCTGCAGGAGCGTGGCGACGTCAGGCACTCCATTACCAGAAGGTGCTGCGGGATCGCTGCTCGCCATGCTGATCACAAATGCTCGTTGTGACAGCTCACACGACTACGTCCTACGAAATAAATTGAACAACACTCCTATCTAAAACGAACTAACAAACTAACTGCAGGGTAATCTAATCCAAATCCAACGGAGTGCTACACTGCTACTGGGCCAGGTAAGACACTACAAACTAGGTTGGTGTGGACAGAATGGACACTACAGGACGAAATGTTCACTGCGCCATGTGGTGTCAGATAGAGTTTATTCACAACTCGCAAGGAGGACAACAAACGAAGAACAACATTCCAAGCAGTGTGCGAACACAAAAGGGAAGTGTGTACGAACACCAAGGAAAGTGTGTACGAGCGCATATGGAAGCAGGAGCTCTAGGCGGGTGCATACGGGGTGCGGGAGTTGCACCATATACGGAAGTATGCCATATACATCAATGTCATGTGATTAAAGCGGAGTGAAATAAGAATGAGGTGAGCTAATGTCATGAACCTGCACTCTACTGTACTGTAGGTCGCATCCTCCGGCGTTTTGCAAAACTTGGGGGCAACTCACAGGCTTGGGCAGAAATACGTATGTTCACACACGTGTCCTCTCTCCATGCAAACACGACACGTACACACGTACACACACCAACATACATACATGTACACACACACACACACACACCAATACACAAACGCACACACACACACACACCAATACACAAACACACACACACAAACACACACACACATACACGCACCTACCCCCCCCCCCCCCCCCCCCTCACACCCACCCAAACACACACACACACACACACACACACACACACAGCATAACAGCTACAGACACAACTCACCCTTTCGTCATCCTTGAAGCACTGAATAACGTAGATATTGGCCCGTATGTCCTCCACCTTGAACCAGTACATGATGGAGAGGACGGTATTTGTACACGCCCAGTCTAGCAGTGTACGAATCTCCAGCAGAAATGGTATCGCCTGGATTCTGTACAAGCAAGAATACAAACACACGCATGCACACACAAGAACACACAAACACACACACACGCGTGCACGCGCACATATCCATGTACCGTAAAGTACCGCCAGAGCGCCCCGCCATCTCGTCCTTTCGTGGTCGTATTGTGGAGTTGGTCTCCTGTCTGTAGGTCATACGATACGAACTTTGTACACATATTCCACGTTCTGGATACAATCCGTACCTTCAAGTGAACACGGGATCCACACAAAACCTGCTTTGTGTGACCTTAGTACACTAAAGTTCACACAAGGTACAAACTTTGTTGCACTCTGCCATACGATTTTTCCTTTTCCTGGCTGTAAAATCAGGGTGGGGCGCTCTCGCGAGACGGGGCGCTCTGGCGGTACTTTACGGTAATTACGCTACGCGCCGTGGAGACAAGAAATGATTGCGCAACAGCAAAAGAGAAAATATCAGAATTCAACAGCCCACACATGTTGTGCGCGCACTCATGTGCATGCACAGACAGACAGACATACATACAGACAGACAGACAGACAGAAAGACAGACAGACAGACAGACAGACAGACAGACAGAGAGACAGACAGGCAGGCACGCACGCACGCACGCACGCACACACACACACACTTACCCTAAAAACAAGACGGCGGAAATAACACTGGACTCCTTGGTGAGGAAGTTCCCAAGAATACGCGTTGGATAACCAGCAGCTATTTGCCGTGATGAAAAGGCAAAGTACATGCACTTGAAGAAGTACCATGCTTGCACAACAGGATTGTCATGGAATGGTCTGGCCAGAACGAGGCAGGGCAAAGTGGTAATGAACACAGCACAAATTACATTATTTTATAAAAATGATTTAAGAAAATGTTTTAGAATTGCAATCAACAGAACGAGCTGAACCGACATTTCACAAAGGCTTTATCGTATTAAAAAAAACCCCGAGTGGATACAACAACAAAAAAACGTTATACGCGACACTACGGCAGTAGAAACGTTTCTTCAGCACAGCATTCAGTTTTCTGAGTCACAGTATCTTTGACCGGGCCCCTATGGTGGGCCTCATTGACTCGTCCTATCACTTAAACACTTACGTCACATGGCGTCAACGAATACATTGACACGGAACAATGCAACGCGATGTTGCGGGTGAACTACTCTGGGCGACATTTTACCTAGAGCATTTCGCCTCACACATCAGCCGCGCTATTGTTCTTCACGTATCATGAAACCTACTTCATTACCCATATGGATATCATCAGTGCATGGTCACCTCATTGTCCTCATACATAGCATGCTTTCTTTTACTTTAGTCGTATCTGGTGAGGTAAATTGCTGTAAAGTGAGAAACTTTCGCAAGAGATTAAATTTCGCTATTTTTGCGACCAATCTCACATTCGCGAATATACCGTATATTCTCTATTATAAGCGCAGGTCTCCATTACTAGCGCAGTCTCTAATACTAGCGCACTCTGAGTGCCTATTGAAAATTTATTAGCGCAGTCTCTATCATAAGCGCAGCGCTTGTATTGGAGTGGGTTTCGGACCATGCGCAGTCATGCTGACGTCACGAAACTGCACGCGCGTACGCAGCGCATCTACTTCACTGTACGACGAGTGTGTACAGTGTTCAAATGCGTTCAAATTGATCTCATTTGCAGGAACAGAGTACAGGTCAGTACATGAACCGTTCAAGGACTCTTGATAAAAGAAGGAACTACCGGGTAACTGAAGTTTGTTGGATCGTCGTTTCCTTACCTTTCAGTTTGACTTGTGCGTAGCCACGAAGTGTGTTAGTGAGAATGGATGAACAAGCTGCTTCCTCTGTGAAGACTAGGAAGAGAAACTCTGTGCCGGTGAAAAGGAAATTAGAAGCTGTGAAGTTTGCGGAGCAAGTGTCGAATTCAGCGGCAGCGAAAAGGTTCGGTGTGAATAGAAAGCAGATACAAGAATGGCGAAAGGCGAAGGCGAAACTCGAATCAGCTGCGAAAACTGGCAGCAGTAAACGAGTACATGGTGGTGGCCGGACACTTCGATTCAAGATGGTGAATGATCGCGTTCGGGATTGGGTTCACGAAAAGCATGAACAGCGTCAGTTTGTTTCTCGACGCCTCATTCGACTCCAAGCAAAGAAAATAGCGAAGGACTTACCAGACTGTGGAGATTTCCGAGCTAGTATTGGGTGGCTGGAAAAGTTTCTGCGTCGTCATAAGCTGACTCTGCGTGCGACGACAACGACATGTCAGAAACCGCCAGCAGATTCAATCGACAAAATTGTCAATTTTGTCTTGTACCTCCGGGAGCTGCGCCGACAACACAGCTATCAGTCGAGAAACATCTTTGCCTGTGACGAGACCGCTGTGTGGGTCGACCCCATCGGTAAGCGCTGCATCGAGAGTCGTGGAGCTAGGAACGTAACTGTGCAGACGCTTGGCCATGACAAGGTTCATATCACCGTAATGTTGTGTGCACGCGCGGATGGCACGAAGTGTAAGCCGTATGTGCTGCTGAATCGGAAGCGACCATTGCCTGAAGTCGTAACCAAATTTTCAGGCCGCCTTGTTCTGTCCTGGGCAGGGAGAGTGTGGATGGACAATGTCCTCACTGAGGATTTTCTGCGTCGCGTGCTTGGGCCAATGGCATTCGGCAAACGTCTGCTCGTTTGGGACTCTTTTAGATGTCATATCTCGCAAGACACCAAAAACGTCATGTCAGAGCTTAAAATACACAGTGCTGTTGTTCCTGGTGGCTGCACCAAGTATGTGCAAGCTCCAGACGTGTCGTGGAACAAACCTTTCAAGGCTGCCATTTCGCGAGCACACGAGGATTGGATGGCCAGTGATGCGGAGAAGGAGGTTACCCGCGGCGGCAATCCCCGACCACCTCCCATTGCTACGTACCTGCAGTGGGTTGTGGATGCATGGGACGGCATCTCCACCGACTTGATTGAGAAATCCTTCAAGGCGTGTGGCATCACCAACGACTTACATGGGCTGGAGGATGACCAGATCCATTGCTTCAAGCCGAATGGTCCCATCCCCGATGGTATGGAAGTTCTGAAATCCAAGTCGAGCAGCCATACCATCTCTGAGCCCGTACTTGTACCGGAGGAAGAGCATGACGAGCGAGAAGAGGAGATGATGGTTGTGGAGGTGCTGGAAGGAGGAGAAAGTTGCAGTGAGAGGGAGAGTGGGGAAGATGATGACGACGACGACGATGACGACTGCGATCTTTAAACTGAAACT